CCTCACATCCCACAGGTCTGGAGGGGCTCTTTGGATGCCAGGGGATGGTGTCTGGCAGGGGTATGGGGAGCAGAGGGAACCCTGGACACCCTCTGTTGCCTTCTCCCATCCCTGGTGGTGGGGCCACAGCACCTGGGTGATGGCCTGGGTAGCCTGGCTCCCTGCCTGCCCCAGCCACAGCCCCTGGCACTGTCCCCCCATGGCACCCTGCTGAAGCCTGCCCTGTTTTCCCAGCATGGAGGAGTGCGAGGCACTGTGTACCCGACTGGCCATCATGGTGAACGGGCGGCTCAAGTGTCTCGGCAGCATCCAGCACCTGAAGAACCGGTAAGAGCCCGTTGGTGGGTCCAGCACCCTGTGTGTGCTGTGGGGTGGGAGGGGGCTGGGCCCCCATGGCAGGGTGATGGTGAGGCACCTGCGGCAACATCTCAGCCCTTTGTGTGGGTGCTGCTTTGGAGGGTGGGCAGGGTTTGGGCTCGCTTGACCATCCTGGCACCGTCACTGTCCTGGTGGGTGCAGTGGCTGCTGGAGAGCATCGTCCTCTTCCATGGGGTCAGTCCTTCCTCGCAGAGATACAGGTGGGGGCCATGTCCTCACAGGGTCCCTTGTCCCCGCACAGGTTCGGAGATGGCTACATGATCACGGTGCGCACCAAGTCGAGCCTCAACGTCAAGGAGGTGGTGAGGTTCTTCAACCGCAACTTCCCCGAGGCCGTCCTCAAGGTGAGCTCCCTGCAGTGGCAGTGCTGTCCCCTGCTACCCCCCGCCTCGGGGTGCAAGCAGCCTTCATTCCCCAAGGGACACCTCTGCAGGACCCCCCGCAGGGTGACAGGTGAATGCCTGGGAGTGAGGGCTTGGGTGTCACCTCTGTGTCCCCTGCAGGAGCGGCACCACACCAAGGCCCAGTACCAGCTGAAGTCGGACCAGATCTCGCTGGCGCAGGTCTTCAGCAAGATGGAGCAGGTGGTGGACGTCCTGGGCATTGAAGACTACTCTGTCAGCCAAACCACGCTGGACAATGTGAGACTGGGGACAGCATGGGTGGCTGGATGCTTGTCCCCAGGGAGGGTGGCTGTGCCAAAGTGCCTGGCAGAAGCCACCTTTGGGATGGGAGGTAGAGCTAGGTGGGGGGCACAGTGGCAGCCACAGCCCAGTGGGATGCACTGGGGCCCATCTCCAGCAGCACAGATGGCAGGTGAGAGGTGACCAGGGGGTGGAGGTGCAGGCCCACAGGCCCTCACAGCCTCCTGCCCCTTCCCCTCCAGGTGTTTGTGAATTTTGCCAAGAAGCAAAGTGACAACCTGGAGCAGCAGGAGACGAGCCCCAGCTGCGCCTTGCAGTCACCCCTGGAGCGTGTGCTGAGCCTGCTGCGCCCCAGGGCTGCCCCTACAGAGCTGCGGGCTCTCGTGGTGGAGGAGCAGGAGGACCTGGAGACTGATGACGAAGGCCTCATCAGCTTTGAGGAGGAGAGGGTGAGAGTTTGTCCCCAGATCTGGGTGTCCCTGGTCCCAGCTGTGTCCTTGCCACAGGGCACTGGGACTGGGTTCTGTGGCACTAGGTCTCGTCCAGAGAAGGGGACACGGTGGGACCAGGGGTGGACCAGAGAGGGCTCTCTGGGAGGGGTGGCTGCTCCCTGCCCAGGCCGGATCCTGGCCCCAGCAGCACTGGGTGAGCTGGGCAGAGCGGGCAGCCCCTGCCTAGCCCCTGAGCCCTGCCTGTCTCTGTGCCCACAGGCTCAGCTCTCATTCAACACGGACACCCTGTGCTGAGACCCCCCAGGGGCAGCCACATCCCCTGGCTGTGAAGCCACCGAACCCTTTTGGCCTCTCCCCTCCCTTTGCCCATCAAGCGGAGCTGGTGCGGCTGCAGGCGTGTGCCAGGGAGGACACAGCGGGTGCGGCACTGGCCTGGGCAGACCTCACAAGCCATCGCCCACCAGGTGGCCTTTGTCCCTTTCAGCTTCAGGGCAGCGTCACTGCATGGTGCCAGGGGCTACAACTGTCCCCAGCTGGCTCACCCAGCCAGTGCGTGCCAACGGACAGAGACTGTGAAGAGAAGGACACGGCTTGGTGCCAGTGCGGCTGGCCCTGCACATTTTGTGGCAGGGACAAGGCCTGTGAGCGGTGCCTTCGGTTGGACACCCATGTTTCACCCACCCTGGGGACCCCTGGCCACAGGGACACTCCCACCCCCACCACCATCCAGGCATTGGCACCACCCCAGCCTGGCTCTGGCAGGGCAGGAGGATGGGCATCTGCTTTCGCCTTGTTTCCATCACCCCTGGCTTAGCATTTGCCCTTGGCAGCGTGGGAAGCTCAGGATCCGGCGCCATGGGGGCAGGAGCTCTGGTGCTTCACCCATGATTGATTTCTGTCACGACAGGATGTCACCGGCAACCTCCAGCCTGCCTGAGCCAGGGAACCTCAGCCCTGCTGGTGCGTCCTCCCTGCCCACACTGCTGCCAGCTGAGGGGTCCAGCTGCCCTGGCCCTGCCTAGCCTTGCGACGTGTGCACTGGGCACTTGGCACTGCCCCTGGGGCTGGGCAGTGGCACCCCTGCAGAGAGGGACACGTGGTGGGGCAGAGGGGTATTTCACAGGGTATTTCACATGCTGGCACCAGCTGTTTCTCCCCTCTGCCCCCACCACGTTCCTCCTCCCAGAGCCCCTCACCCTGCCTCCTGCCTGCCCTCACTTCCCCACCACAGGGCATCGCTGCGGCTGTGCCACCTTTCCACTGTGTCCCCCTCTTCTTCCCCCTTGCCCTGGCATTCATCACTCAGCATCTGCCCCTGTACAGGAGCCACCTGCACTGGTTTCTTATTGTTGGGTCAGTGGTGGTACTGGGAGAGGGGTTGCTGTGCCCCAGGATGCCTTTTGAAGCTGGGAGTGGGGTGGCTTTGAGGTACGAGGACAAGACAACCCAGCTGGGTGCTGGTGCAACCGGACAGTGGTGTCTGGGGTGGTGGAAAGGGGAAGGATGGACTGTGGCAGTGGGGCTGGCATCATCACCTAGAACTGGCAGTGTCACCAGGGCTGGCTGCGGGCACCCCCTTGGCCAGCAGTGTCCCTCCTTTCTGCAGAGGGTCCTGCTGCCTTGTCACCCATGGGGGCTGTGCCCAGCACCCACAGCCCAGCAGCACTCCCCAGCGCACAGCTCCCCAGCAACCCACAGTGGTGCCCAGAGGCAGGGTGGTGGCAGGGCCCATGATGTTGACCCCAGCCACCCACCCCGTAGGTGCCCCAGACTTTTACAGCACCCCAGGGTGGCCATGCACAGTCCCCCCTCCTTCCTAGGGAGCACCTAGGGCCAAGCTGCCCGTGTGTGTCCCCACTGCCCTTTCTGCCTCCCTCGCACAGGCTCGGCTGGCGGCCCTGGGCTGGCTCCAGCCCACCGGCAAGCAGGCAGCACTGGGCACCCTAGCTCACTGCCATGGGACAGCACACCATGGGGGGAGGTGGATTGGGGCCAGCCCTGGCCCCACTCAAGGGCACAGAAGCAGGGGCACACCCAGGTGGCAGCTGACTGCTGTCCCTGTGGGCCCTGATCTTGCCAGTCCTGTATGCCACCTGCTATAGATTGTGATAAAATATACAGTATTTTCAATAGGGGAAAAATGGGGGGGGAGATAAGCTCTATTTTCAGATTTTTCAGACCATATTTTTTTTAATGGCATACTGGAAACTGGCTGGTCCTGTGTGGGCTGGATGGCATGGGTGGGCAGGCCCTCAATTGGGGTGTCCCCTGCTCCACTGCTGGGCCCACTCTGCCTTCCTGGGTGAGAACTGGGGGATGAGCCAGCTTGGGGTTAGCCCTGTGCCACCAGGGAGAGAGGGGATGGTGTCACTTTTGGGTCCTCAGATGTGACCTCAGTGGTGGCACCCGAGGGTGGGCATGGTGTCCTGCTCTGTGCTCTGGCCAGGGCTTTGTCCTTGCATTGTGCCCACCCAGCTGCCCTGCCCCTCAGGGCTGCAGGAGGGCACCAGCACCCTGGGCACAGAGCCTGCAACCCCCCCACCCCAGCCCTCCCACCCGCAGAGCTGCCGCCACCCACTGCTGTGCCACTGTCCCCATGCCTGGTCCCCATGCCCCTTGGCTTTCAGTAGTCAATGGAGATGCTTTTGTGCTCCCAGGGCATGCTTGCCAGCACAGCCTGGGTGGCTGCGGTGGCCGCCCTGCCCTGAGCTCGGGGTTGCCCAGGCACAAACACTGCTGGGGGCACCCTGAGGGTGGCAAGCAGGGTGGAAACGGGAGGGCGTTGCCCCCAGGCAGGGGTGGCTGCTGCCTTAACACCATTCGCTTTGTTGAGTTTGGCCCCACTTCCTGCCTCGCCTCCCTCTGCACGTCCTTGGCCACCAGCCACGGGCACAGTGTCAGTGCCACGCACGTCCCCAGGCACAGGGCACCCCAAGGGGTGGGGGGGGATGCCTTGGAGGAGCCTGTACATTGCTAGCAAAAGAAAAAAAAAAAAGATGAAATGTGAAAATAATGATGGTTTTAAATAAAAAATAATAACTGGAGCCAGCAAGGCTGCATGGTTACTGGTGGGCAGGAGTGCCAGGGCTGGGTGCCCAGGGAGGGACTGGGCTGGGCAAGTGCTGAGGAGGGCGTTCATACTGCCCTGGGATGGGGGTGCAAGAGCCTGCTATGGGCAAAGGGAGCTGGGCACAACACAGGCCTGTGCCCAGCACTTGGCATCTTCCAGGGTGGGTGGCGGGGCTGGCTGGGGGCATGAAGCCCTGCAGGGCACAGGCAGAGCAGGCAGGGTGCCCAGGCAGGAGCTGCTTTAGCTGGCGATGCCGTGAGCCGCCGTGGCTGGCCTCAGGCTGGCAGCAGCAGCGGTGGCTGGGGCCCCATGGCAGGGCGTCCCCGGTTGCGCGGTGGGGCCAGGCATGGGTGGGAGCGGGTGCACCCCGGGGGAGGAATGTGGGCTGGGAGGGGCCGTGCTCCAGCACCCACGCTCACACCACAGCCACCATTCAGCCAGCAGCCACCACCCAGCATGGCCGAGAAACCCGAAATCCAGCTCTTCGTCAAGGTGAGAGGGGTCACAGGGGCCTGGGGTGCCCTGGGCTGGCATGGCCCGGCCACCCCTGCCCACTGCAGTGCGCAGACGTGGGGCCCTGGGCAGGCAGTGGGCAGCTCGGGGCTCATTTCCGTGGCACGGCATGCTGCTGCCTGCCCCGTGGGCATGGGGGGCTGTGGGTGTTCAGCATGGGGTGTTGGACTGGGATGCGTCCCCCAAAACTGGGCCCCCTGCCCAGCAGCCTAGCCACCACAGCATCTGCCTGCACCTGCCGGGCCCTTCCCAGCCACTACCTGGCCAGGGCAGTTTGTCCGGCTACACAGGGCAGGACAGGGCCCACCTGGGATCACACCTGGGGGTGACAGGGCCACCAGCATCACCATCACCTTCCTCCAGCACAGCCCCTGCTGCTCTGGGCTGTCCCCTGGCACAGCCATACCCGGTGCCACCACGGTTGCTGGCCCCAGCCCCCTTGGCATTGCGGGGCTGGGGTAGCCTGGGGCCCCCTGCTCTTCCAGGGGTGCCAGGGCCAGCACCCGCTGTGCCACGCAGGCTGCTCTGGGGTGGGGTGCAGAGGCCCCAGGAGCAGGCAGGGGCCAGGGGCTGGCACCCTGCCGAGCATAGCTGGTGCCATGGACTGCCAGCACTGCTCTCCAGCCTGCAGCCAGCCTGGGCTTGGCTGGGGTGGGTGGCATGTGGCTTGCCACCCTCCCTCTGCACCCACTGGAGCTGCCTGGCCAGCGCTGCCCCTGCTGCGGCTGTGCTGGGGCGAAGGGGCAGCTGAGCTCTCCCTCTCTGCCTGCAGGCAAGCGAGGACGGGGAGAGCATGGGTCACTGCCCCTTCTGCCAGCGGCTTTTCATGGTGCTACTGCTCAAAGGGGTGCCCTTCACCCTCACCACTGTGGATGTGAAGAGGTGAGTCATGCCCCCCCACTCACCATGGGGGTTGCCAGCTAAGGGGTCAGGGCCATGGGCTGGGTGGGACAGCCTTGCCCTGGCACACTGATGGAGGAGGTGGTAGGTCCCAAACCCCTTGTGAAGGGACATGGAGGGTGGGTGCTGTGGGACGCATAGAACCTGTTGTACCCCACTCCAGCTGCCCACTGCTGCCTGAGGGAGGTCAGTAGGCATTTCCCAGGACAGAGCTGCCATGGGCACACAGTGAGGCAAGAGTAGCCTGGGGGCACCACCTCAACCCTTTGCACAGGACACACCTGTGCATACAAACACACACACACAAGCGTGCGGTGCCCTGCAGAGCCCTGGGCACTGCCAGGTGTCAGCATCCATCCCCATCTCCTGCAGGGCACTGGACGTGCTGAAGGACTTCGCACCGGGTGCCCAGCTGCCTGTTTTGCTCTACAATGGCGAGCCCAAGACTGACACCATCACCATTGAGGACTTCCTGGAGGACAAGCTGGGCCCCCCCATGTCAGTCTCCGGCGCTGCCCTGAGAGGGGGCAAGGGGCCAAAGAGGGGCAGGACAGGCTGAGAGAGGGGAGGCGGGCAGGCAGCACATGAGCCTGCTGGCCCCTGCCTCTTTCCTCAGCTGTGCCTGTGTCCCTGCAGGTTCCCCAGCCTGGTCCCACGGTACAAGGAGTCCAGCCTGGCTGGGAATGACATCTTTCACAAGTTCTCCACCTTCATCAAGAACCCGGTGCCTGCCCAGGACGAGGGTGAGGAGCTGGGTGGGGGGATACCACCCTGAAGCCCAGTCAGGTCACCCTGAGCCTTTCCAGCCCTCCCCTGCCCCAGGCCACAGCTGGGTCTCTCCAGGCACTGCCCCTCCCCACACAGCTCAGCATGGCCATGCCAGGGTCCTCTTGGGAGGGCAGGGGTAAATGCCATCCTGGGCAAGGTGGGAAGAGCATGGGCAGGCATTGCCTGGGCACAGGGGTGGGCTGGCAGGAGGCCATGGCAGAGCTGTAGGGCCCCGTGCCCCAGCCGGGCCATGCCCTGAGCAGTGGCACTGCTGCCCTCCCCGCAGTGCTGCAGCGGAGCCTGCTGCGGGCCCTGCTGAAGCTGGACGAGTACCTGAGTGCCCCCCTGGAGTATGAGCTGGCCCACAACCCCCACCTCCGAGCCTCCCAGCGCCGCTTCCTTGATGGGGACCAGCTCACGTTAGCCGACTGCAACCTCCTGCCCAAGCTCAACATCGTTCAGGCGAGTGTGGGCACCCTGATGCTGTGCCCTTCTCTCCCTGGCTTCTCGATGTCACGGGCCCCATGCTCTCACCTCCCCCTCGGTGTCTGCAGCAACCCCCTGCTCCTTTGCCAACCCCTGTATCATCCCGGTGTCCCCCTGGCACCCCCCTCCCCATGACCCCTGCCTGCATGCTGCCTTCCCACAGATCTCAATCCCCTCCACATCCCCTGCCAGGTGCCGCCCCTCGTCTCGTGCAATGCCAGGGATGTCCCCTGGTCCCCTGCCACCCTTCCTGGCTGACTCCTGCCTGTGAATACCAGCCCCTGGCCACGGGGCCCTTCTTGGCACACCACAGGCACACAGGGCTGGGCAAGGGCTCACCCTGTTTCTGCCTGCAGGTTGTGTGCCAGCATTACCGCCGCTTTGGGATCCCAAAGGACCTGCGGGGCGTGTGGCGCTACCTCAACAGTGCCAGTGAAACCAAGGAGTTCAAATACACCTGCCCCAACAGTGAGGAGATTGTACAAGCCTATCGCTCCGTGGTCCGGTTGCTGCAGTGAGCCGGGCATGCACCCAGGCGGGTGCAGGGCCAGGGTTGGGCAGCAGGCCAGCATCTGCCCCAGTCCTGCCACGACCACCAGTCCTGCCTGCACGCACTCAGGAGGGCAGAGAGCATGAGCTGTGCCACTCGCACTCAAATTCCCTCAGCTGGCACCCCTGCCCAAGGTGCCGGCAGCAATCTGCATCACGCCAAGCCCGGAAATGCATTCTCAGCTCTTGCGCCACTCTCCCTGCTCGGCCAGGAACCCCTCAACCTGCCCTGCAGTCCCTCAAGCATCAGGAGGGGTGCAAAGTGCCCACAGCCATGGGCACCATCTATACCAAAGCTGGGCAATGCTGAGGGCAAGGGAAGGAGCTGGGGAGGAAAAGCTGCCCAGAGCAGAGGGCTGTGGGGTACAGACAGGGCAGCGCACTGCCGTGGGCATCCCTGCAGCCTCCTCTGGAGTGACCCGAGGCAGGGCTGTGCCAGGACAGCAGGCACCGCAGGATGCCCCGGAGGAGCTGCACTGGGTGAGGGGAACTGGCAGCCATGGCAGAGCCCTGGGAACAGAGCTGGGGGGATGGTGCGGGTGGTGGACATGGCCCAGCCCCTATCACCCTGAGTGAGGGGAGTGGAGGGCACTGTCCCCCCAGAACCTCCTGTTAGGAAGCTCTCAGGAGCAGATTTGGGAGAGGGATGGGGGTGAAGTGGGGCAAGTCCAAGCCACATATCAGAGCTCCCAGAAATCAATAAAGGCTTTGCAAGTGAGACAAGCGTGAGTCTGGAGTGACCAGCCCCAGCAGCTCTCCACCATCGCAGGACTTTGCACCGGCCTCCCAGTCCTCTCCCAGTGCCTAGGCAAAGGCTGGGCTCATTCTCCCAGTTCTCCAGGGGGCTGGGGAGGCTCTAACCACTCACCTACCAGCCCACTGGCACAAAGCTGGCAGGAAAGTGAATTCCTCTGAGCCCCTGACACTCCAGGTTCAGCTGAAATTGGCCACAGGGTTCCTGAGCAAGGGAAAGGCAGAATGGACTGACACATCTGCGTTGTCCCAGTCCCCAGAGACCAGCTGGCTAAAACCACCTTTACTAGCAATCAGTTAAGTACAGGCAATCTTTTTGTTACATAGCGATATAAAAGTTCTTTAAAAACCCTACCAATTCATGGCAAGCAAGGTAGAGAGGTGGCCCCTACCAGCAGGGAAGAGCTGCAGGTAAAAAAGCCACAACTTCTGTCACCCCTACCCCATCTGTCCCCGCCAAAGGCCCTGCCACTGCACCAGCTGAGGATCTGCTGCCTGCTCAGGCCTGCCAGGTGCTGGCTCTAGCCCTCTGGGTCCTGCTTGCCCCGTCCGCCTCCCTGGGTGCAAGGGGCTCAGCAGGCCCAGGGTGCAGCGAAACCTCCTCCACCAGCCACACACGCGGCTGACAAGGCTCCGGTAGGACTGTCATCAGGGGACGGGACAGCACAGGTCAGGAGTCCTCAAAATCCACTCCAGATGGTGCCCTCTTGCTAGAAGGAGATGGAGGGAGCATCACAGCCCAAAGCCCCACATCTTGCTCCCATGCAACTACAGAGCAGAATCCACAAGATCTCCGTGCAGCCCAGCCACAGCACTAGGCCTGGGAGCAGCACTTACCTTTTGAAGCCAGGGTTAATGAGAGACTCTCCTGGGATCTTCCTCTTGGCTGACAAAGCTGAGCCAGCACCCCTGTTCTTCCTGGGGCTGGGGTCTGCCTCGGTCAGGGACAGGCAGGACAGGGATTGCAAAAGGTCAGCTAGTTGCTTTGGCAGTCCTGCAAGCCCAGGGTGAGCCTCCAGCAGCCCAGCCTGGCAGGCCCAACATCGTGGTGGGTGAGGAAGGGCCAAACCTGGTCTCCTCTCCCAAAGGAGGAGGGAGCCATGGACCTGCCACGGTCCCTGGTCTGGAAGAGCAGCGAAGCCTGACCTCCTCCTGGAAGCTAGCAAGCAACCTGCCTGATGATGCCCAGCATGTGACCTGAGCAGAGTGCATCCCAGACACCCCGAGAGCCACCGCGCTGAGCCCTGGCCCCTTCTGTGCTGGGAAGGGCACCAGAAGAGTGGGGCGGCTGACAGCAGCCACAGCTGAGGGGACTCAGAGTGTCCTGGAGAGCACATGGACACAGGACCAGCAGCCTCCTGGGGAAAAGAAGGCAAACAAGCAGTGGGAAGAGGGGATGTGCCCCCTGGCAACTGCCTACCTGGTAGGAAGAGCTGCTGGCTCCAGGCAGCGTTCTTCTCAGGGCTGCAGGAAGACGCCAGTGTCTCCACCACTGCTGAGACAGGAACCAGAGCCAGAGCTTGTGACAACACACCCCAATGTGGCATGCAGCACCCCAAGCCTCCCCAGCAAGCTCCCTCCCCTCCACAGCCAAACTGAGCCACATTCTTCTCCCAGCACACCCACCCAGGCTGCTGCCGCCCCAGGATCTTCCTAGACCCCTAAACCAGAAACCTCTGTAAGGCGACTCCCCCACACAGAGATGATGGTGTGGTGCTAGCCATGGGGACAAGGTTGTGTTTCTGCACAGAGACACAACACTGCGTCCTCTGGTCCCACGCTGGATCTCTTCTGCCCGAGGTGGCCACGTGCAGACCCTGGCCAGCTTTGGGAACTGGCCAGCGTATACAGGAAAAATAAGGCAGCACCCCTGCTGTCCAGCTCTCCTGGCCAGTCCACCCAGAACCAGTGAGGAGAAACCACCTGGGGCGAGGCCAGGGTGGCACAGCCTTCTCCTGTTGCTGGCCGAGCTGGACCACCTGGGGCACTTTTGGGGGGGGACACAATACCACAGAGGTGGCAGGGAGCTGCCCATCCTCCTCCCGCCTTTACCCCCTTCCAAAACCCCCACAGACCTTCCAGGCGTCTCTCCAGGCTTTCCACATGCTCCGCCATGCCAAACACCAGCGCCTGGAGCTGGCTCCTCGCCTCGGTGACAGGCAGCTTGAAGAGATCCAGGGCCGAGCACTGGGCCTCGTCCCGCGGCTGCAGTGTGGCCTTCCCCTCACCCAGGCTCAGCGATGCGGCCCGCCGCCCCAAGGCCTCCCTGTGCAGGTGAGGCCGGGGTGAGTGGGGCCCTCGACAGAGAGGCCGGGTCCCCGCAGCTGCGGCACCCACCTGAGCTTCGTGGCGTGCTCCTCTGGCCGGCACCGCTGCAGAGGAGAGGGGGCACGTCTCGACACGGCCTTCCCCGGCCCCCGGCCCGGGCCCCACAGCCGCCCAGCCCCGGGCCTTTCCCGCTGCCCCATCCCCGCTACCTACGCAGCCGAGCGGCGGGCGGACGCCGAGCTCCCCGGCCCAGACCTCCAGCGCGTCGGTCACACTGCGGGAGGCAGCAGCTCAGGCCGTGCCGGGGCCGCTCGGCCTCAGCCCCGGCCCCGGCCTCAGCCCCGGCCCCGGCCCCGGCCCCGCACTCACTAGA